CTACATAGACCTCCATGGTATGGCCAATTAAACGAGCAAACATCTTATTGACCAATCTCTGATACGTGGCCCCGGCATTTTTCAACCCAAAAGTCATCATAACGTAGCAATAGAGGCCACGGGCTGAATAGAATGAAGTATGTTCAGCATCATCTGGATGCATGGGAATCTGATTGTAGCCTGAATAGGCATCCAAAAAACTCATGAGTTGATGCCCCGACGTAGCGTCCACCATATAATCGATGTGCGGAATGGGATAGCTATCTTTCGGGCAGGCTTGATTCAAGTCAGAGAAATCTATACAGAGGCGCCAAAGGCCGGTTGCTTTCTTAACCAGAACAGGGTTCGATATCCACGTCGGATATTTGGCTTCTTTAACAAATTTATTATCGATGAGCTTATTCACTTCTTCTTCAAGAGCCTTTTGGCGGTCGGGACCAAATTTCCGACGTTTCTGAATAACTGGTTTGACAGTTTTGTCTAAATTGAGACGATGGCAAGCCTTCTGTGGGTCGATCCCTTTCATGTCTTCATGTTTCCATGCGAATACATCAGTGTTTGACTGGAGGAATAGGATCAAACTCGATCGAAGGGGTTCCTGTAGATTGGCCCCAATACGCAACGACTTCTGTTGTTCTGATCCGTCCACGTAAATGATCTCAATATCTTCAACAGGCTCTGCTCGAATGTGATGACTCCCGTCTTTGAACTGCATCCTCGGGTCTATATCTTCGTGTTCCTCTGTGTCGTTTTTATGGGGAGATTGTTCCTGGCCTAGGACTTCTGTTGATATCTCAGATGAGACCGACGTCGTGGGGATGTCGGTATCTGATGTCGGTACCTGAGGCATGTCGGTATCCGAAGTGAACTGATCAACTTGCTTGGTGCGAGGGGCTGGATCACTTGGCTCGACAAAGGTGTTAACTTCTCGTTCTTCAATCATATGAAAGTCAGGTGTAGTTGAGAGCAAAGTTAGACTCCGAGCTTCTCGTTGGTCTCCATAATGAACGCCCTCTCCTTCAATGGTGGGAAACTTCAAGGCATAATGAAAAATCGAGACAGCGGCGCGAAGCTTATAAAGTGCGGTTCGTCCAATTACAGCATTATATTCATTGTGAACATCCAAAACTTTGAAGGTTTCCATGATAATCTTGGACTTCGGCCCAAAGCCTCCAAATCGGATAGGGAGCAATATTTCACCAACAGGGCAAGAGACGCTCCCATTAAAACCTTGAATCTGATCATTACATGGCCTAATATCTGCTGGGTCCAAGCCCAACTTCTTGAAGGTTCGGAGCATTAAGATACTCGAATACGCTCCTGTATCGACTAGGATTCGATGAACAGGGATTCCGCCAATTGGGGCAGTTATGATGAGAGCATCAGAATGAGGATGAGCAAACAAATTGGCGTCTTCAATACTGAATGTGATGGGGCAATTCCGTTTGTTGATCGTATCCCTAAGGTCGACGTTCATGACTCGGTTTTCGGCGTTTTGAGCCTCCCGAGCATAAGCTTTAATTTTTCGTCGGGACATATCCGACTGTCTGTTATTGGAGTTAACCCGGGGTATGCTACGTGGAATCTCTGCAGAATCATGTACCTTAGGTTTCCTGTGGTTGTCGGTTGAGGTCCCGACATGAGTGGAAAACGTGAAAACTTCTTTATCATTGACACGAGCTTTCTTCTGGCTGGCAGATCGGTTATCTTCATCTTCTTCATCTGAAAAATCCAAAGGTCTTCCTTTCCGACGATTATCAAAATTTCGGAACTTTTGAAGCTGAGGTTGGCCGATTAAACGTAAGAGCGCCGATAAGAGACCGAGGCACTCATCGGTATTGTGCCCTGGAGATTTGTGGTACGCGCAGTAGCGAGTTTTATCCAACTTATCTTCAGGAGTTCTCACTGGCCTGGGGTCTGGAATAATCCCCTTCCCTTTCAGCTCTTCATATATAGTGGCCGCTCCAGCAGAATAAACAGCACGGTAACCTGTCCTGACATTGTCCGAATATTGATCTCGAGCAGCCCGGGACTCTGGGGTATTTTCATACCCCCGAGAGGAGTTCCGGAATTGGGACTTCCCGAAGTTCTTTTTGCTTTTCTTCTTAGTATCCGGTTCACCCTTACCTTCTTTTGCCGAAAAGTCGAAACTGGGAACCGACATGGATTCTTCGGCAATGATGAATTGTTGAGCTCGTACGAGGAACTCCTGAAACGTTGCAGGCTTATTTTGACATAGGGTCCAACGAAACATCGAATTGGGCCTCAATCCAGCAATAGCGGTTACTAATAGAGTTTCAGGATGACATGGCTCCATATTCTGAATCCGGTCATTAAATCGGGCCACATAATCTTTGACGGTCTCGTCGTCTTTTTGCACGATGTTAGTAATAGATTCTTTGGGAATAAGGCAAATCTGAGCACCGATGAAATGTGACCGGAAAGCTGCACGTAGCTGCTGCCATTTCCATATCGAATGAGGTGGAAGAGTGTAATACCATTTCTGGGCTCGTGGCCCCAGTGTAAGTGAGAACATTCGACACCTCAGAGCGTCTGAAGCTCCATGTAAATCCATCCAAGATGTGTAATGACCTAAATGAGCGTCTGGATCCGACGTCCCATCGTACATACCGATTTGCGGAATCTTTACTTTGACAGGGAGTGGCTCCGCGGTAAGCTCAGGGGCTAACGGAGAATCTGCCTCAACAACAACATTTCCCGACGTCGCGACATGTCGGGGCGAATCTTCTTGTGACTTCTGTCGCATTTCAAGTTCGGCCAAACGTTTGCGGAGGGTTTCGATTTCCTCCGCACTATGTCTCGAAAGGCGATTGCGCTCGATTTGGCGTCGTAAATCCTCGCGAACGTGAGGTGCTGATGAGATGGGCCTAGGACGTGGGGAAACTCTTTGATGCTGAGCAGAATGACTCTCAGCCGTCATCTCCTGCACAGGAGACTGATCTTGGGCTTGATTGTTCGTTACGGGATTCACGATCACATGAACTGGTTCTTCTTGACGTGGAGAGGTATGATGAGGTTGGGACGTAGCATGTGACGTCGCAGCATGTGTTTCATGATCACGATGAATATGACTGGGATGCTCCGTTGGGTTGGTGGCCAAGGGCATCGTGCTCGAGTTTCTAGGCATGGCCCGAGCTATTAATGAAGACAAACCCTGTATGAACTCCGGGTTTTGAAGGAAGCTTGTAACATTCGCGGCCGGAGGTGGTGGCGGGGTACGCCGTGGGGAATGATTAGTTGAATGGCTCTGTCCAGGGTGAGGAGCATGGTCTCGCCCAGACTGTGACATGGTGATTCTAAGTATGCAAATGATTTAAACAGCAAATGAAATATGACGCAAAGGTGTCAAATACCCCCTTCCTCTAGCGCCAAACTGTTGTTACATAGAAATTAACAACAACCAAATTGAGGTATAGTTTAAGTAAATTCAAATGTTAGCGATGGAAAGCTTGTATATTGGATTTGGAAATGCAATTAGTAGCAGGATGGTATTCTCGTCTGTTTGGGAAATTCTCTATTTCCCTTTTATACTTACATACCATAATTATCTGTACAATAATCATTACATTTGAATGGTCAAAGGCGGTTTTCGACGGCTCCTCTTGTTAGCTTGCCACTTGGATAAGCGTAATGATGAATTATGCTGAGTTGTCACCGCCTTACCATGCTGAACTGGCATGTTATAGATATCGGTCCACCTAGTTATAACCGATACATCGTGGCTGACATGTAGTAGCCGACATGTGCTGACCGACATGTGTTGACCGACATGTGTTGACCGACATGTGATATCGGTCAGCTTAGTAAGGATATCGGTTTCCGCTAAATCTTTCATTGTGTAACCATCTTGAAGCTGGTAGAAGTGTCTCGTGCTCGTATGAACTCTAATCATCATCATATTGGTCTCGATCAACGGATTAGCGTCGCTTAACTCGGCTTACAGAAAATGATATCAACAACATTTTATTTTATGTTTGTTTTTACTCTTTTGTGTAATCAAATATTATTAACTTTATTTTTTTTTTTTTCTGAAATGTTCATTTGATAAAATCTCTTTAACAGAAATACCATTCAATGTGGTACAAAAGTTCAATTTAAACCATTTTTTTAACCAAAAACTTATTATTCTATAAATTATAGATGTTGAGCTTAAATTATAAATATATAATTTTTTTTTTTGTTATTGTTTAAAAGATTGATGATGATACAGATTCTAAGTTCTTAAAAACTTAATTGTACACGTATCTATATTTATATTTGTAGTAAATACATTTTTATATGAAATGGGTATTTCGACTTAAACTATATCTAGTTACTTAACATTTTAAATCGGGCCTCTATGAGTAAAATTTCTAGATCCGTCACTGGGTGAACTGATTGAGTTTTTTACGTGATTCTAATTTGTTATGTGAACCAACTTTTTCTGTGTCTAAATTTTAATTAGTGTTTATTGTTCCTGCTTGATTTAGTAATCCAACGTTTACTTTTCAGGTAATATCGTGATAAAAATATGGCAATGCAAGCCTGTTGAAGCTTTCATGAAACTGTAATATGCTTATGAGGTGATTTATTTCGCTATTTTGTTCTTTTTCTTTTCCAGCATAAAAAAAAAAAAAAAAAAAAAAAAAAAAAAAAAAAAAAAAAAAAATTGTTGCTTATATTGTTTTAGAGTCGTGAATGTGAAGAAAAGGTTTGTATACATAGGTTCTTTTGGATGTCTCCAATAAAATAAAATAAAATAAAATAAAATAAAATAAAATAAAATAAATTGTACCATGATGAGTTGTAATGGAAGAGTTGCCTAATTATTAGTAATTTATGGGATCTTTTCAATACCTCTCCGCCAAGCATATAAAAAAATGGATCATATGTTGATTGTTGGGTGAATAGGTCGGTCGATTTCTTCAGAAGACATATAATAATTATACATATAATAATTATGCATTCGATTTCTTCACTCCATGATACGAGGCCCTTGGTCAAACACTCCCGAGCAGGATAGCGGTCAGCATCAGCTTGCCCACATGTGGATAATCCTTGTGCTCCATGATGACTTCTTCTATGATGACTTGTTCCACAGACGGGCCTATATTCCTTCCCTTCCTCAACGGGAGCACCTCGTCGAATTTCACATTAAAATTTTTTGAGCGGGGGCCATAACATTTTCTGGCAGCATGGAAAAGTACAGTTTTCTCGAGAGCCTTAAAGGTTCTTTCGTCACTCCAGCCCTCAGTCATGGACAAGCTGTACAGTCTCTCCCAATCATCTTGACTTGCAGCATTTTTCCAGCACTCCTCAAAATACATTGCGTAGGTTCTGAGAAAGGACGCATTCATCCACAAGAATATATCGAAGGGTCGCAAAGAAAGCTCCCGCTTCTTGATTCTAAGACACGTTCTGATGAGATCCTTCGGATCAAGAAGCTGCTGCGCCATAAATCGCATGTCCATATCATCATCATGCAGAAACCTCATTATTTCTTCCTTTAAGAGTAAAAGACAACTTTAGTCCAGAGAAAATATTATTGAGTATTTGGATCAAGTGATTAGGCATGTTATCAAAATATGAGAAACAATATAGATAACCTACATCCCAACATATTGATCTCGCCAATTTTTTATTTATTTTTTCTTCTCCATATCAGTTAACAAAACAAACATGCGAATTGGACTAAATACCTGTACTTGTAGAAAATTCAGATCAGCTTCAATACGCTTCACCTTTAGCTCGTCACCAACTTCTCTTCCTGACAGATTCACAGATTGGTATCACCATTTCAGGTGCAAACAACATGGTCAAAAATGATAAAGGACACAAAATTAAGTATTACATCCTCTACCAGAAACAAGGGTTGACACTGCATCTACCACAAATTTTGGACTGCTTAAATTACCTCTAGGGCATTGGATTATATGATTAAAGGAAACCCTAAATACCCTATTCAATACTTCGTTTTGGAGGGCACAATTTTTAATATAAATCACACAGCCAAAAAGCAATCACAATCATAAGAATTTGTAGCATATTACAGCTGGATAGCCAGTACCTGCCATAGCTGATAGTTTTGCGAGATTTAAAAAATGCTTTCTCCAAGCCAAAGTTAATTTAGGTTGTGGGCCATTAGGTTCAGTCTCATCAGTATCTGAAACTGATCTTTTATCCTTAGGAAGAGATAAATTAGATAATGCATGTAAAGTTTCAGAAGGTGAGGAAAATTGACGAAGAAACAACTCGTGAAGCCAAAGAAGATCGGGATGCTGCCTCAGAATTGTAGCAAGCTCGTCAAGAAACTTTTCACCCTGCCGCATTAGTTCTGAGAATTGTATGAATACAAAGCAACTGAAACCTCCTTTTGGTCCGATGTTTTCATGCTGCAAAACAGAAGTTCAAATTACTATTCTTATTAAAAGCTCATATGAAAATAAATAAATAAATAAATGAGCAGCATTTTAATAACAAAATACGCATCAAAAGCATTATATATATATATATAT